AGGTACAACTGACAGTTAAAGAGGAGACTTCAGCGTTCGAGAAATGACTTGGAAACAAAGAACGTTCTACTCGCGTGCGATATGTCGAAGCACGCGAAGCGGCAGCGAAAGCATTGACAAAGTCAAAGCTGATTCCTGGGGTTGGAGTCGAATTTCCAGACGGCAAACAAGGTATTCTGGCAGATCATCCGCCTACGTGTGGTGAAAAGAAGGGCAGTCTAAGAGTCTTGTCGGACAGGTCTGGACACCCTCTTACTGAGGACGAGGACATTCTTAGGTGATGGAGAGAGCGTCTTGAGGGATTAGTTAACCCAGTGCAACCGTAGGAGGACTCGTCTATAGAGTAGTAGGTAACGGATGTTATTATTTTTGTAAATGAAATCACAGATGCTGTGAATAACTTGAAAAGTGGGAAGGCTGCTGGAATTGATGAAATTCGCCGATGAGTCGAACAATGCACGTCCTGGCTTATCCGTGTCTGTCAAAACGCAGTGGTTACTGGGAAGACTCCAGTCGGCTGAGAGGCGAGGTCACAGAGAGTTATGGGGCATTGCGAAGGGAACAGCAATTGAGTCTCCCGGGGAAAGTCTACGCGAAGACAGTGTGGCTGCCAGCACCTCTGACCATATATTACTCCTGCGCCAGATTGTTGAGAAATCGTGAGAGTTCACCCATCCTGTGTGCATGTACTTTATTGACTTGAACAAAGCCTGTGACGGGATCCCGCGAATGAGTCAGTAGGCATGCCTGCGAACATAGGGTCAATGGCCAGTTCCTGCGGGTTATCCAATCACTATGCTGATAGCAGTTGCTGCTTCAGAGTAAATGGCGATAAGTCGAGACGTTTTAACGTTTGCACTGGTCTCCGCCAAGGTTGCGTGTTGTCCCCTTTCCTGTTTGTATTGCACATCTACAGAATAGGTCAGGCACAGCCAAGGCGTTGAGTACTCCAGCGTGGGCGATTGTGAGGGTGCTTCCGTTATTCCCGATTTTGTACTAACGTTTTAGCTTCGGCAGAAGACAGCCGGAGTAGAGCCGGCAGTAGAGCAGTAGAGCCGGCAGTCGGCAATAGAGCCTCGATTCACATGTCCCAGGTTAATCTTGATCGGTCGGTTGGACAAGTAGGATTTACTTCGCCGGCCTTTCTGGGGGCATTTGCAATCGTCACTGCGGTAGTCATCTCTTTGGCTCTGAAAACATCTCTCAACTCCTATTGCACCCGTAATGGAAAATCGTTTGTGTAAGACAGTTGTTTAAGCGAAAAATTTATCCACGCGTTAGAAATGTCTGTATATACCGCCGTGGTTTCATAGAGAAAGCGGGCAGAAATGGTTAATATGCGTGACAGCGATCGATCTGAGTGAAGCTCGGATATCCGGCGCACGCGTCGCGTTGCCTTTCGCTTTGTGAGTCGTCGGCTGGAAAAGCCAATGAAAACGATTAAGCGATTAACGGTGTCGGAAAGAGACACCGCTTCGATCTTCTAACGCTGCGGTGCTGTGCTTCACAGATGAATTCTTGTGCGATGGCGTTTTTTGCTCTATGTATCGCCAGGCATCAGCCACCAGCCATCGGTCATCGGGTGAGCCAGTCGAGCGCGCCCCGTGTGCATACAAACCAGAGGGCGACGCTGTGAAATCGCCGACACACCCAAGCCACACACCACACGGTGGTCGAAAAGCTTTCTGACCTGCGGTGTTGACCTACCGGGCTGGAAGTATTGTAGTTCGTCACAGCAGGTGTTGCAGACATCGGGCAATAAATCTAATGCGTGAAAATACGCGACCTACTAGGTATATAGCATTGCCCGCGACGGTTGTCTGTCGCCTGATCAAACTGCCAAGATCTTTGCGCGGTTTAGCAGCGCTGGTTCGATTTCACGGTGTGCTGCAGCCCTTGCTAGGTCTGATAGGTCAGAGTTGTCTAGGAGGCCATATCCTCAAACAGTATGTTCTAAAACAAGGCTACCTTCCATTACCCGAAGATCCCTGTTCCTGTGTTGCTGTGATGCCATCATTTGTAACTTCGTTATGTGCCGAGGCCAGTGCCGTTGCCGCTGTAGGTTGTTTAGACGAAATCTACATCGCGGATGCACTTTGTGCTGATCACTGTACTACATAGTCGGTCATTATTTGGATCGTTTCGAAGTGCAGCCGCAGGCAGCGGTCTCATCGGACAGCACGACTGAACACCTCGTCCATTCTGGCATGACCAGACAGAAATGCCATGATGCCCCTATTATGCACAACTCACCGATTTATTGCCCATTTCTCTGCTGGTTGCTCCGAAACAGCTTGGGGTTTCGTTGTTTACTTAAGAGGAATTAAGAGATGCGCTAAGGACAAAGGTTATCTCTTGAGTGGATAGCCGACCTTTTAGGCACTGTGCCTCCACAGTATACGTCGACTGCGCCAGTGATCTAATCCATCCAAGTTTCTGCCAGGATTCTTGTGGAAAGTGAAGCTTCTTTTTCAATCCGAATATTAGACGGGATATCGAGGACAATAGAAGCAAGGGCGATCCTGTGGTTTAACACTAACTACGTTGTGCCTTCGCTGAAGATAATGGACAAGATTTGATTAAGATGGTTAGGCTCGTCACTTTTTCACCTCCATGTTCCAGCTAAAGATTTTTTTGCCACTTGGGTTCTTCATAACTTTCCGGGTTTCGTAGTTCGTGTCGTACACGAAAGTAACCAGTGGAGAAGCAGGCGGCACGTGTTAAGATTGTTATCTGGGCATCCAGCTTTTCGTATCGAAGATATAATCAGGACAAGATTATCTTCGTGCTCCACGTTGGCAAGATATCTAGCCGGATAACTCGGACTGTGGCTTCCCCCTAGAATGAGACCATCGCTTTTGCCACAGTCGGCGTTGTATTACAAGAGATTTGGAGAGCAGTGTTGAATAGAAAAGGCGAAGCTCAGGACGAACTGTTAGAGTTAATAAGGAACGATTCAGGTAGCTCTGTTGTGACCTCAATAATGGACACGATTCGTACGTACGTCTCTCTGAAAATCGAGGTCACGTATTTTGGCATCACTTTGCATTTTAAGATTTACGACATCACTCAGTGACGTATTCAATGAAATACGGCTTTGATTCGATGAAAGTGGCCGCCAACGAAACAGGAATCATCGACATTGTGCTGTGAGAAGTATTCCGTTCAGACGGCGGTTGCTGAGTCGGTAGAGCACTGCACTCAGAAGCCAGACGTCGTAGGTTTGAACCCCACTCCGGTTACTCTCCTTTTCTTCTTTGCAAGTTTCATGAACGAGTGCCATTCAGTAGGAAAGATACAGGACACTGCACACCATGCTTGCCACGTGACTGTTGTCGACATTGCCTTTAAAATAACTCCCAAATAGCGCCTGACCGATGGCATGGGGATGGTGGCCGACGCGCCGCCCTTGACTTCATGTTAATATGAGCGCAAGAAATGGAGTCATCGTGAAAACGTTAGGAAGATGGACATTTCAACGGTTACAGACTTTGCTGTCGTTTTCCTTCATTGCGCTAGGGAGCCTGCTCGTTTCGGCAACGATTTCCGCCGTCTCAGCGTTTTAGGAAGTATGGTTCAAAAGATTGATTTAGCCTGCACAAAAGTTTGGTTTACCGTCCTACTTAGCTACGCGAACAATTACCTTAACAGCCTAAAAATGGCCTGTATATGTAGCAACACGCAGAGCTAAGCGTTTCAAACCGAGTTATACAAAACTTAGCCTCTACCTTTGTAACTGTAGTTCACTCTTTTTCTTTTGCATAATACCGTTCGAATCATTTTTATTTTGTATGGTATTACAAATCGTTTCAACACTGTAGTAGATATTTTTGACTACCCACGCACGAAACAACTTTCCGATTGAACAAAAAGTATCCTACCCTCAGCCAGCCTTAAGTCATTCAGGAAACTTTTCGAAACGCGTCCTTCGCGTCTAATACATATGGTGATATCCGGGAGAATTCGATCTACATTCATTTCGTTCTTCAGCTTAACATACAAATAGTAATTTAGACTTTTAAAGGTATGCAGACGTTTAAAATTTCAGATGTCAACAAATGTATCGTGCGGCTCTGCGCCACGTGCACTAGATTTTAACTCCGTACCATGGTATCCGCTGTCCACTTGGGTCGAATAACGTTAGTTGAACTGGCATCGCTGATCAGTAAAAGGATTGAATAAGGCACGGTGATTCGTTACTACAATGACGACTGATTGCGAGTGACTCGATGATTCCTATTATTGTTTTCTTACCTTTAATAACCGCTAAACTGGTCATTTGGCGGTGATTAAGGTCATGATGTGTCACTCAGAAAAGCTATTAACGCTGGAACGGGCAGTGGTGCGTGGTCATTTGAAATCTGCCAGATCTACGAGGCCGAATATATGTCATAGGTATCGTCGACGACGAATCGTTCGGTCGGCGAATATCGTTGTCCATGCACCAGGTAGAAGAGGGACGACGGGACGGCAGCGGCGAAAGCGAAACCTGTTTTGCGGTCGTCGTCACTCGCCAAGTTGTCGATGCGTAGAGGCGACGAATACGCTTGACGCGATTTCGCCTTGCTCGGTCGAACTCACTCACTTCTGACCGCCTGCCATCGTCTGGGCCAAGTTTGGACATCATTGCTATCCAACTGCGACAGTGAACTCGGCATGGTACCAACATCTGTTGGTCGCCGAAAGACACGTGAAGTGAAATTAGGTCTCGCGATCGACCGTGGGACAGCTGGGAAAGGTTCTCATGACAGCAGTCAAATTTTCCCTAAATGAGCCTCCAGTTTTGCCGCCAGTGATCGAATACGACTCAAAAACATTTATCCTTACTGAGTGCGAGCCAAAGAAGAAAACTGGTGCTCTCGATGCTGTCGCCGTAATTCAGCTGCTATTTGATCGATCCACGGTTGGAAACGAGTCTGATGTTAAAAATTAACGTACGACTCGCCTCAACAGTCGTTTCGTAATTTAAGTCTTAACACTATTCTTGCGTCTGATGCTGTAGTAACTCTCTTTCCATGGTTTTCGATGGCCATCAGTTCTTCTACTAAAACACGACCGAATATGAAATTAGTAAATTTGAATTAGTAGCATCTAATGTTCGACGAAGAATAAAATTCAGATCGTGACCAAGAAAGAGATAAATGAACGATACATACGACAGAGTTAATCGATGCTAGATGATCCGTAAGAAAATTACTTAATTGTACTTAATTTTCCATGGGTGTTCCGTATCGGTTTTCATTGTCCGAAAATTGTCCAAACCATCGAAGACACTTTGTTGGTCGAAAAAGACCGATGAACTCTGCACTGAGTTCCGACGCCGAGAACCGCCTGAATCTGCGGCCGCTCTCAATTTATCCCTCACACACGAACCGCAACGCATGGCCACTGTTCCGCCACCTGGGCGCCGCTGGATCTGCAAAGCATCGAGTTGCGAAAGTTTCCCCCGGTGCTGTGTTTGCTCACCTCCTCCTTACGTGTAGATTTTCGACTGATAAAGCCGCTCGTTGTCTAAACTCATGTGCTATCGTCGTCGCTCCCTAAGGCTGACATCGCTTGAACTATGGTATTGTTAACGTAAAAATGATGCCTTTGTACTCACTTGACTCAGAAGCTCACCGAACCCCGAGAGAATGAGCGTAGCTGAAGAATAGTGTGGTTTGGTGTGAAGTGGAATTGTTAAACGCTTTGAAGTTATCTCCTTGTCGTTCGTTGTGCAGTGTTTGGGATGACTTTCGTCATGTGACAGCGGCTGACCAAAGCGTTGCGCTGTTTGTATCACTGAGCCTGCTCGCGAACCAGCAAACAGTACGTAGTATGCGAAACATTTGTAGAATAAAGCAAGTTCTTCGGTGAACAGATGTTCGCTGCCTGCGTAGTTTCATTAGATGACAAAAAATCCTCTAAACTTCGATCAAGGCCGATCTCACGTGATCTGACCTTTGCAGGCTTTCGCTGATCACAAACAGAGTCCTTGTGCACCGCTGTCAACAGTAACTGTCTCTGTCTCTTTTCACACCGTATGTTACACTGGCCAAATCCCAGTTCGACGTGTTTCTCATGCATGATGATGAAACCATTTTGTATGTGGCCGCAGTGCTGCTCCAGTCACTGCATATGTAACGCACAGATTCATATTTCTATCGCCTTTAAAGATTTATTGTACTTTACCATGTGTTCAGGTGTCGTCATTTTCGATATGTACTAATTAGATTATTGTTTAAAATGAATCGTGTATTCACTTTCTGCTGCGCTGTTGAATATACTGAACTAACTTCAATTCTTAGAATTTGGAATTCCATGGCGTCATGCGATTTTACTTCCAAGAAAGCGGCCAGAAGGTGGCCACCAAGTGCATCCGTGTGTCCAGCACCGCTACCACCCGGGCGGTGATCGAAGCTCTGATTGAAAAGTTTCATCCGGACATGCGCATGCTGTCGGGCAGCAGCTACTCGCTTTGGGAGGTTCATGAGAACGGCGAGGAGCGCAAGTTGCAGCCGGACGAGAAGCCGTTGCTCGTACAACTCAACTGGCACAAAGACGATCGCGAGGGTCGGTTCCTTCTGAGGCACGACGATATGGAACGCTTACCTCTCAAGGTACCTTACAGTCAGCTCAGTCATTAGTATAACGAGCCATTCATGCCGTCTGATAAAGTCTGTGGTCAAACTTTGATGCTTTTGAAACCTTTCGCCGAACCAGGCCAGCACTCAATCTCGTACTTATATTGGCAGTCGTTACTCCGATCAGTAATCTTTAGCGCATGTTCGTTCATGAACCGGTTCTACCACTATGATTTGAGAATACTGCCTAGACAGCTGGAAGTCGTTCCTGTTATTTTTTGGGCAAGATAGGTAGCAACGGAAGCTTTACACCAAGGAAGCAGTACGACAGCTGTTTTCGGGTTCGTCTCTCGCTTCTGTTCTTATTGTTCGCTTTATGAAGATTTGCGACAGTCGATGTATGCATGTACGTCGTTAGCCAGTAGCCACCAGGTTGACTTGAAATGATCGGCCTCCTTTACTCTGTACTCCTTTATCAACACTGAACAAGTTTCACAACGATTGTTTGGTTCTGACGATACACTACTCCATGCATAAGACGTTTTATAAGCCTTACCGCTTCCCATGGAATTCGGTAGTATCAAATAGCGCGACACATCTCAAAAATCCATTGCTGGGCGAATGGGCCTCCTGAAATGGTTGACCACTCCTTTTCGGCATGGCGATATTGTCCTATCATCAACGTGGCTTCGTCTCGTTGTGTAACATATACAAGAAATGATTGTTAATTTCAAGGCGTCATGCAGACGTTATACGAGTCTTTTGACTGTTATATGTATGTCTAAGGTTGCTCAGTCGTTCGGACCTAAAGGGCTCTGGTTATAGTCTCGGTCGCATCACCTTCCGTCCTTTCTTCCGAAGTTGATAAAGGAGTGCCACTCTATGGCAAGGAAACAGAACAGTACACGTGTACTTTCGACTTTGCATTAAAGTAAGGCAGTGCTGACTGATGGTATGAGAGTGGAGATCAGCGCCTTGTTGGACGATGGGAGTGTGGGCAGGCGAATGGAAGCAAACGGCACCATCATGAAAATCTGAGGGACATTGGTAATCCAACGGGTGCAAACTATCCTTTTCTCTTTCTGCATGACAAGTGATGGTTTACATTCTTTTCTTGTGTGTCGCAAATACAGTTGTAAATCTCCAGATCTAATTTTGACGACCAGGCAGCGGAGCTGGTGCCGATGCATGTAGCGCACTTTCGAACTAAGTTTTGTAACGATACGTCACAGGTGCCGTTGTTGCCCAGTTCTGGCGTGGGTGGTGCGGATTCTGTTCAGAGTTAGCCATTGTTTTCGAACCACGTGGAAACTCGGTGACTTTTTTTGTCGCAGTGCCAATTAAGCATTTGTTTCGCACGTTGCAATCCTGGATAGGGTTTTCTTCACTCGTCATTGATGCCAAAGAATGACGCCGTTAGTTTGTGGATGGTTTGGATCAGATGGTATCTGTATTTGGGTCTGAACGACGGAACACATCCCAGTTTTTGGTCGAGTGGTACGTTTTCGCTCGTCCCAGAGTTTGCGACGGTCACGTTGGCAGGTTTCGTGCAATCGAATGTCGGGCGGTTGTACTCGACAGCGCTGGTTGCCAGGGTAGTGCAGCGCTATGAAGATTCTCATCGTGTTGTTGAGGATGCCATCGAGGTTCTAATGAGTGACTGCTGTGGAGCCACAGGGGTGTATAGACCTGAAGTCTTGAATAAATAGTATACATTAAAATAAACTCGGCATTGTGAGTTTTCTAGCAAACCGCTAGTTTTCAGTACCGCCCGTAGGCATATATCAGTTTCTTGCCAGTTCTCCAGATTTACTTCCTACTTCTAGTAACCTGAATGAACATCAGGTGTATGTTGGTATTTAGATCATCGGGTGATGACGGACCGGACTTTAAGCTGCCAGGTTATTCTTATCGTGCCTTTACTGACATGCATATTGCGTTTGAGTTGCTGGTGCTAACTTTTAAGCAGCGTTGTCTTTCAGTCGCGCGTAACGTAATAACCGTGTCGCGATTATAGGCGACCGAGAACAGCGGCCAGATGAAGCGCAAGTTGTCGGGTAAGAAAAGGCGCGAATTGAAAAAGCAGGGCAAGGAGATCCGCCGTTCGAAAGAAGCCGAGGATTTCAGCCGTAGTTTGTACTCGGAGGTGCCGGCGACCACGTTCACGCGTACGATTTCGAATCCGGAGGTGGTGATGCGAAAACGCCGTGAACGGAAACTGCAGCAGAAGTTGAGGGAGATCGGCGACGGTACGATATTTCGATGGTTTGCTCATGTTGAAGGTGCGGCAAAAACAGCAGCTGTTCGACATAGCGCATATCATATCCAATAGACTTAGCGACGTTGTTTGCCGTTGTCTTGAGGCGCCGTTTATGCTGGTCACAACGCCATGTGGTTTGAGCACCTGCAGTGCCCGACCCGATTCATCTTGATGCTGATTGCGAACCACGTTTCGGTTGCTGGTACTCGTCGTACGCTACCGCATAATGATCAGTACATGTTCGGAAGTCGGAGTATGTCGAATAATGACTGACTCGTTCGAGACCAGATGTCTCGGCGTGTATTGCACCGCTCCCTTGTGGTAGCCTACAACGTGTACCAACCGATTCGTTACTTATCGTCCATAATAAGTACGAGTTGACTGTGACGCACAAAACGTAGCCAGATTCGCGTCTGTCACTGCAAGTGTTCCAATGCTTAAATTTCCCTTAGCGAACTACGGGCAAGCGGGCGGTGCAATACGCCGTGTAATCTGGTTTTGGCGCCGTTGTACGTTATTCGACATGGTCTGGCTTCTAAGCGTACTTCTATGTTTAAGCACCTGTATCATCAGGTTCATTTCTGCCTTGCACTAGGAGACCAGTTCTTCAGTCCGTTCAACGACTTGAACAGTGGTGAAGAAGAACAATGATTATGCATGCAACTAGGTTTACGTTCAAGTCGTTCGATGTTGTACGCCATTTTCTGTTCGAAAAAGATCATCAAAGCACCGCGACTGTAAGCGTTGATTAAATGATAAGTAATAATTGA